ACCAGATGAATTATTCAACTGGCTTTCTCACTGGATACATTGTCTTGCTCAAAACTGTAGAACTGTAATTTCACCTAAAACCATCACAATTATCAGAATAATCTCTAGATCCTAATGAAAAAGCACAAAATGTCACACAGAAAAAGAACAGTGATCCAATCCTCTTCTTTAACTCTCAGAGTGCAACATGACAGTTTGTTCTAGGCTGACTTGACTCAGGGAATTATACTTTGATTTTATTTATAGACTACTGCAGATGGAAAATCAAAGCATCACATATAACAGGGCATTTAATTCAATCAAACTCAAGGAATACAAAGTCATTCTTCGTCTTATGCATTTTCTATCAGTTTATAATGCCCATTCTAGATCTATTAAGCTCAAGATGCTGATAAATGAAAGACAAGAAAATCATTATTTCAAGGCAGCATATAACTCAAGAATACAAATACATTCTAAAAAGTCACCAGTTTGATGCTGAAAAGTATATTCTATTTACAGATCACTGTCTCCCTTTTTTTCTAATTCTTCAACACTGCAAAGCTAGAGTCATACTTCATATGCTCAAAGTCACACTGCTTGCCACGAGTGGCATTTGAAGCATTACTATGGCAACAAGTAAATTGACAGCTACAAGATACATCCCGCTGATACACCATGTAACCGAGCAATCTAATTCTTACTATGTTGAACAACATTGTATCAAATAAGTGCGGTTAAAACCCTCACAAAACGTTAGTACTCTGAGACAGAGCATGACAAAAGCAACAAATACTATCTAAGAATTATCTGGGAAGTGACAGAGAGCAGAACTAACCCCCTCTCAGAATCAATAGGCAGCTGTTGACTGAAGACAATTCCCAACTACTAAAAAGACGCAAGCTCTGAAAGGCAAGATCTCTCCTAACTGTGGATGAGACTAGTGGAACAAATTTTGTATAACTTCAGTTTGAGAGAAGTGTATCAAAAACATAATAAAATTATTTCTGTATAAACAGACCGGGATGACAAAATCTGGTTTTTTACATTTTTCTGCAGGCAAACTCGGCATTAGTAACCTGTCCCTGCAACAAGTAACAAGTCCCTTTGTAACACCCTAATAGAAAAATATGGCAACATATTAAAGAAACTTGACATCCTCTACAAGCTCTCAAAGCAAGTTCAGCATATTTGACTCTTCCTTTATGCATCAGACAGCTTTGTACGGGAAAGAAAATTACTCTCCTCATCAGTACCATCAGTGATCTGGCAAACTTCATCTCTGAAAGAGGCCTTCATCTCTTCTAACTACTACTTGCACTTAAATGCAATGCTAAGCTACATACAGTTCTCCAAAAGAAAGAATTAGTGGATACAGCTCCTCATCAGTGCAATTCTTAATCGTTGATTAATCTCTTCAGACAATAAGCAACAGCACAAAATAACATTTAAATGATGCAATTCTGTGATGAAAAGTTCTCAAACACACAGGACAGGAACCACAGAAAAACATGCCTGAACATAACAATAAAAATATTTTTAACTTTTTAACAAAATAGTTTCATTAAAAACACCCGAGACTTCTTCAGTTTCTCAATCTGCCCTCCTTTCCTCACTCCTCTCAGGTTAAATCTTTCCCTTCTCCCCAAAAACCTTCTCAAGTTTTCCAGGATTCATCTCCATTAATTGAAAAATAATTTTAAAAATAACTGTTCAAAAGTTATGGCTTGTACAACATCTCAAAAATGGGAAAAAGAATTCTCAACCAGATCAAGAGGCGAAGTATCAGAAAGCCAGATTTTATTGCTTGAATTTTCCACTACTTAGGTTTCAAGACTAGTGACCTATAAGCTCCTACAGAGAATGATAGACTATAAATTTAAATGGCTAAGAACGGCATCTCAATTTCTCAAGCAGCTTAAAAAAATCCAAGTTACTAGATTCCCTCAAAAGAACACTACTGAACACCTAGCCCTGAAGCAAGGAGAGGGGAATATTCTGACTCTAAAATGTAAATAAATAATTAAAGTTTTAAAGGATAAGTAAAGACTGGATGATATTCTCAAAGAAGTTATTATGAAAGAAGATACTAGATATAGTTACTAAAATCCACATGAGATGGTACCCAATATTTCTAACAAAACGAGGCAAGCCAACTTCTCTCTTTCATTCTGCCACTGCATGACAGAGAATGCAGTACAAGCATTAGAGCACTCTACTTGTGCATGGAAAGCAGAAAAATGAAACTGCTCCATGTAGCTGTACTCTCTTATCCAACTGAAATAGCTTTTATTTCCACTTCTAAAAATTAACATGTTTAATTACCACTTAACTACCCTAGATACTATACTCTTAAAAAGAAAAAAAAGCCAAGTAAAAGATTTGAGAAAGTTTCTTTCACCCTAATTCTGAACAAGAAGTCAAGTTCATAACAAGAAAATTTTAAACACACATGACCCGTAGCTCTTAAATTCCTTAAGATAAACCTTGTATTTTGGCAATTTTGCATGTTTTAATTCTTGCCCACCAATGCTTTAACAATCGGCCCTTCAGACTGATCTGCTACAGATCCATGGCACAACTCGCTGCTCTGAGAGATCAGTCAAAGGAAGCTCTCCTTTGAGGTGAGAGCGTTTTCGCAGAATGAGGGAGGAAGGACAATGGCTGGTCCGTGTACCACAACGCATCCCTGGGAGACCACAACTAATCCTGGGGTCTCCTACTGAAAAGGCAGCTGTTTCTCCTCCCCTCCAGCCTAACACAAAGGCTTTGTGTAGTGCTTCCCCAGAGAAAAAGAAACACACAAGGCAAGACACAGGAACACACAGAAACTGTCAATCTCCTTTGTAAAGTACCAATTCACTCCCACTAGATAAACAAGCCCTTACTAAAATAGAAAACACAGTAGTATATTAACATACCATACACTGCAACTTCACACACCAAACAAATGCTTAAGCTTCTGTACACAAATATCTAGCACTGGTAGAAACTGATCGTTTAGAAGCCAGTTTTGAACAAGGAAAACCCCACTCATATCTCTCATCTGTCATACTCAAAAATCTTCTTGATATAATCAGCCAGATTGAGAAAAGCCTCTCTGGAATTTGTGATGTTAGAAGCATCAGAGCCCGCAGTATGCAGCAGCAGTACAGTGACCACACTAAACATAAGCAACGTCACGATATTCCAGTCACTCAATTTGTTCTTCTTGTTCTAACTTCATCCTTCCCAAACAGGAAGTTTAAAAAGATGCTGAGTTTCAAGTAAATAATGGTACATCAGAAATATATCATATTAGAGAAGAACAAAGTATTTTTTAGGGATAATTGGTTCCATCTCCACATTTTTTAAACTGCATCTTGATGAACTGTTTTCAAAATAACTTTTGACAAATGACTACTCATACTATTGCAGTCAAACTTTCCTATATATAATTTCATTGACAGGCCAAACAAATGTTAACAAGTATACCTCTGGCTTAATAAGTTAAGAAAGTTTGTTAAACATAATTCATTCTGTAAAGCAAATGAATTATCATCAAAAAAGTATTCAGGACAACATTAACACAAAATAAAAACGCTGGGTATCTTTTTGTCATGAATTCATACAATAAAGACTTCAAAAAACATTACCAAAATCAAACAAGAGTAGCAAAATACATCCTAACCTTTTGCTTTCTCAACCCTTCTGTTCTTAAAATGAACTAACATACCTACAAGCATAGCTAGCATGTGTTCAACAGAGGCATGGCATTAACTACACAGACTGAATTTTAAAAACCTACTCATTCTTTCCAGAATCATAACACAAAAACTAACCACACACTTTAAGGCTAACAAGATATTTAAATAAATAGAGTATGATTTATTTCAAGGCTCTCAACATTCCCGCAATATAGTTTATTAATTCAGAACATTTAAGCTGAAATTACACTGGTTCTGCACATAAAGTCTAACTAAGAGAGCCACTACAGGCTATTTTACAACTAATTTTCTATAGCCATTTTCAGCTTAACTATAAATACAGTAGAAGGTTCTCAAAATGCTGTGGTATGCTCCAGGGTCATTCCTTTGTGTCCATCTCTCTCCGCCCCCCACGACACTACATCAATATTATAATTATTTGCACTCCCACCCCCACTTACACTAGCAGTTGTTTCCAACTGCTCTGGCTCACAGCAGAGGTTACAAACCTCGTAGCAAGCTTTGTCCTCTCATTGCTTTTGCTCTAGAGTGACAACAGAAGCCTAAGGATGCCGCTGCAGCTCCAGAGATCATCAGAAGACTTGGGAACCAGGTGCTTTCCCACTTCCTCTTTGTAAAGCTAAAAGTACGCGCAATAACGTCTTTTTAACGCCGTTCCACACGCAGTTTGTGTTCTCCGGAGCGCCGTGGTGCGCGCACCCGCGGCCTAGCCAGGAATATCTGTATGCACGGATCGATGCAAGTGCCGCTAATGGCTCCAGCACTCAGAGCGCCAGGCGACAGACAGCCCGCTTCCCATCCAGCCGTGCCCACACAGCAGCCGTCACACGCATGCCACAACCCAGAGCTGGAAATACAGACGCAGCTATTTTAAAACAGAGATCTTTCGCCGTCAGAACACGTAAATTTCTGTACCATTTGCCTTCTTGCACCAAGTGGGAGGGACCAAAAAAAAAAAAAAAAAAATCTCATGCCTATGAATCTGAGTTCTCCGTAGAGGCCGGGACAGCGGTGACTGCTACTGGAGCCTGCCAGACCTGCCGATCTAACTCCACGGAGGGGATCGCCCCGTCCTGCCCCGCTGGAATAAGCCCTTCCCGGGGCGGGCCGTGGTCCCCGGAGCTCCCGCGCCCGGCAAACTCCCTCTCCCGCGGGGACAGAAACCGCGACGCGGCTCCCACGCAGCAGCCGCTGGGGCCGGGCCGGCGGCCGCCGCAGCCCGAGGGCCGCGCCCCGCCGAGGCGGCCAGAGCGCCCGCGGGGACGGGGCGCGGGGTAACGGCGGCGGCCGCGGCGCAGCACCGCGAATCCTCACCTGGAATGGGGCCGAGGCGGCGACTCCTCGAGGCGGGGCGGGGAGACCCGGCGGCGCCCCCGGCCCCACAGGAGATGGTGTGCGCGGCGCGGGGCGGGGGCTACAGCGGCGCCCCCCGGCCCAGCCTCCGCCCCATGGCGTGCGGCGCGGTCTCTATGGCGACTGCAGAGCCGGGCCGGCCCGCGGGGAGGGGTAACGGCAGCGCGCAGGCGGAGGGCGCTCAGCGGGTCACGGGGCGGCTCGCAGCGCTCCCCATGGGGGTTGAGCCCCTCGCCGCGGCCGCCGCCATCCCTGCGGCAGTGCCGGCCGGAGCCCGGCCGCGCTCGCCCGCGCCGACGCCCCCGCGCTCGCCCTTCCTCGGCCGCGGCGCCACCGAGCCCGCTGTCCCCCGGGGCACCGCCCACATCCTATTTCCGGAGCGGTGATTGGGCAGCTGGCGAGATTTGTCACGGGCGATTGGCTCTCAACGCTGTCAATCCGGTCGCCGGGGGCGGGCGCACCTGGACGCGGCGCTGTGCAGTGCGGGGCTGGCTAAGCCAGCGAGCGCCGGTACAACAGTGGCCGCCCCCGCGCAGCCCCAGGACCGAGCTGCGGGATGGGCACCGGAGTCCCTGTTTCCGACGAGCTTCCGAGGGGCAGCGCCCTTGCGGGGGTCGGCGCTGGCCCTGGGCGCTCGCCGCCCCAGGGCCGCTGCCGGCGGGCAGCCGGCTCCTCGTTGCAGTGCCGCCTCCGCCTCATCAGCCGGGGCTTGGCCGCCTTCCGCGCCTGGGCGGGCTGCCCGGGCCCCGGTGGGCGCAGGCCGCTGCCCGGCCGCGGGTAGGGCTGAGGAAGGACAGGCCGGGGCGGGGCAGGCGGGTGGCCGCGCGTCTCCGGGAGGAGCTCTCTCCCCTTCGGGACACTGCAGACGGCTGTGTTCAGGCTCAGCCCAAATTTGCCCTTGAACATAAATGCCATTCACCATTTGGCTGTACACCTAGCTTTTATTTATCTTGAGTTCTGATGGTGCAGCTCATTGTTCCAGAGGAGTTAAAACATCACCTGAAAAGTCATGTGCATCTCCGTTGTGCGTGTCTTATGGTTGTCAGAGAAACCACCCCAGGACTCCTGGCACCAGACTTCATCTCAATAAGTGATGGAAACACCACACGTATTGGTCCGGCAAGAACCTGCCAGCGGGTGCTATTTTGGGAGCAAATCAATGGATGAGATTCTCTTCTCCCAGCAGCTCTGAAGCTGTGTGAGAGTTTGCCTTTGTCTCCCCACAGTCCTCTGGCAGTTTCTCTGGCTGAGAGCCATCCTAGAGATGAGGCTGTTAAACAATGCTCTCAAGGTACAAAAAAGCCTTCAAAGCACTGTGGTAAACCTGTCTCTAACTTTCCTAAAGTCTGGAGTGAAGGCTAAAAGTTATCAGGAAAAGAAGATGGTAGCCTTTGATTCAGATGAACACTCCTTCTCTTCATGTACCAAAACTCTACATAAGTGTTTATACTTACAGCCTTAAATAAAAAAAATAATAATTGCACATTTGTAATGGATTTGTAATGAATTCAGTCGTTAAATATTCTCAAGATGTTGATTGAGATCTCTGGTCATGGGAATGACAGAACACTGTGGTTATGGCTCTGGGGTCACTTGTGAGGGCTACAGGCTATCACCCAGACTGAGGGTCAAAGTGCCCCTGCTACGTTCCCAAACTGAGTTTGTCCAGAAAGTATCCAGAAGTGCTTTATTTTCAGGAAGAGGAAAGTAAAGCTTTCAATGTCATTGGGAATGCTTATAGGGAATGACAGAGCACGCTGGAAGAAGGTTACTTGAATGCTAAGGGGAGAAAATAGGACAGGATAATGAAGACACATGGTAGGAAGAGAACTAAAACTGTGATGCACAGCTGAAATGGATTTGCAAAATAGGAATTGTTACCCTGGGGGTGGGAATGAAAGAACTATAAGAAATGTCACACTGGGGAGGAATGGGTGTGGACAATTGGAAAACCAAGAACAGGGAATTTGCGGTGAAAAATGGAATGGCCTGCACTGTCACAGGACTGCATGGTGTTTCAGTTTGAGGGGAAATGCTTAGGTAACTCAGAGGGGACAGCAAGAACTTCAGAGGGGAGGAATGGGATTCCCTGGCATCATCTGTAGGGCAGGGGATCAACATTTTGGGAGCAAAATTGAGGAGTTTTATATCCACTGGACAGTGGCAATCACTGCAACACATTTAGCATACATTTCTGATGGGAAAATCTAAGAGGATCTCTAGGGGGAATAGTTGGTTTTGGGAAAAGGCGGGAAAAGTCTGAGGTAACTTGGGAAGGATAGGCAGAGAAAATTTTGTGACAAAAACCTGAGGTAATTTTTAAAGGGCAGAAAGAAAATTTTGAAGGTAAACCCTCAGGTAATCAGCAGGGGAGTAAATGAATATGTTTAAAGGCAAAATCTGAGATAATTTTTACGGGACCAATAAGGAACATTTCTGAGGGAAAATCTGAGGCTAATCAGCAGGGGGAAAAATATTGGACATATTGGAGATATTGGAGATAAAATATTGAACATATTAGAGATAAAACCCAAGATAATCATCAGGTGGCATTTTGGGGTTTAAATCAGAGGTAGTATACAGATGTAGATGAAGACATTATGAAGGGAAAATTTGAGATAATCTCAGTGGAATAGAACATTTTGGAATGAAAAACCTGAGGTAATCTATACGGACCAGAATGAATACAAGGGAGAGGTGGGTGGCCCTAGTGATGATGAGGAGGTGTGAGGGTCACTGAGGGGGTGTGAGGATCTCTGAGGGCAGCTGGATGAGGGCTGTGTTGCTGAGGGGCAACACAGTCTCTTTTGGGGGGTGCCAAAGTGACTTTCTCTTCAGAAAACCTGAGGAAATCTAGCTAAAACACCTAGCTAAAAAATTAACACTTTCTGGACGGGTGAGTTTAGGGTAATTTAGAGAGGAAAAATGACCACATTTGAGGAACAGTCTGTTGTAACACAGCAGTAGAAGGCAGCATTTCTGATAGACAATCTGAGATAGTTTAAAAGGGAAAGAGGTGATAATTTTACCTGAAAGCCTCCAACTTTTTAGAAGGGTATTCTCCTGGGCATAGTGGGAGCTGAAGACAAAGTCTCTTAGAAAATCCTTCTTGATGAATCCTAAGGTGCAAAATACTGCCCCATGGCTTTCCAAACTCCTTAGAGAGGAACTTGGGTAAGGGTAATACAATCCTACCATCTCCCATTATCACAGGTTTATACATGAAAGATTTAATACATATAAGTGAATCTTTCTCAAGATTCTTCCTAAGAATAAAGGAGCACAGACCAAAGCTATTCAGGTAAACTGATAAAATTTATTAAGATAAAAACTACTCAAAAGTATCTTAATCAGAAATATTTACACAACCATAAAGACGCAATAAACTAGTGTAGTATAATGTATAATGCCTTATCTGAAAGGAACACTAATTATATTAAAGCTACAAAAAAAACCTAAACAATGAAACGTAATATAACACACCCATGCCAAAGAGAGGAAAAATCTCACCTACAAATATAGGAGACAGAACTGAGGGGTGTGTATGGAGAGGGATCATTACACACAGTGCTCCAAAAACGAATATCTTGAAAAGCCAACTGCTAGTAATTCTGGCTGCATGGCTTGGAGGTGACCAACTGAGGCTGTTGTGTGGCGGTTCCCTGCAGGCACGGCGTCTGGAGCTTCTCAGGCCTGAGTGTGTCGTCGTGCAATGGCAGAAACCGTGGGACGACGAGGCAAGAGGGACAGCGTCTTCGAGCTGAAGAGTGGAATGGCGAGGCAAGAGCGAGCTGGAAGCTGAAGAGGGGCACGAGGGGCCCTCTGGGCAAAGGGCTTTTCCAGGCCAGGGCACCTTCAGGGCGCCGCGGCTGGCTTTGCGCTGGGCGACCTCCCTGTGTGCAGGGCTGGGCTTTGCTGTGCTTGGGCCTTTTGCCTTGTGCTGCTTTGGCTGCCCGGAGAGAGGGGCAGCCCTGTAAAGGAGGGTGAGAGCCCCTGTTTCCGCACCGCAGGGGGAAACGGAGCTCTCTCGGCCCCCAGCCCAGCTACCCTGTGAGCAGGGCAGGGCTTTTCCCCAGCCCCTTTCAGCCTGCTGCTGGCCCCTGGCCAGCGTGCCCCCTGTACTCGGGGCGTGTCACAGCCCGTGTCCCTGGTGCCAGTCCTGAAGCGCTTCAGCGCGTTGAGGCCCCTGCGGCCTCCTCTCAGTGCACGGGCAGGTCTGATGCTTTCCTCTCCCGCTCAGCGTTAGGAATGGCTCCCTAGAGTAGGTTGGCTGCACAGAACTCGCTCCCTCTTCTGGGACTGTCTCCCCATCCCGTCTCCCCCTTTCGGGCATAGCAGGTCTGTCACCCCTGGGCTCTGCACAGCGCCAGTTGGAAAGGGCGTTTGCGATGTGTCCTGTGCCTGGGTGAGTACGGCATTTGAAAGGAAGGCTTTCTGCTCTCACAGGTGGCTCCTCACTGCAGGCACGACTTGAAACAAACAAAAAGGGCCAGGAGACTTCTTCTCCTTTTTAATGCCTTTATTAAAAGTGATCAGCTCAGGATTGGGTGGCGCGACGGGTCTGCAGTCTCCGTCGTCTTCTCGGGCGACTCAGAGGAGGAGGACATGCGCAGCTCTGTCCACAAGGGGCAGAGCTGGGGATCACGTCCTCGTGGGAGCCTTTAGGGCCTGCTGATCCTGTCAGATGGTACCTTTGCCGGCTCAGTCAGCCTGGTCTCACCGCCGGGGTCGTCTCTCTTGGTCAGGGCGAGAGGCTCTGAAGGTGTTTTGCATCTCTGCAGGCTCAGCATTCGGCTCTTCACGTCTAGACATCACTCTAGTCTCTCAACTCTTAGGTGGCTCGTCGTTTTGGGGTCTTCTCTGTACACCGGGGGACCCATGCTGCATTGTGGTCTTGGAGTCACTTTGCATAGCTCCCCCCCACCTTCTACTGTTCGGGAAGGTTCCCACCCTTCTGGGAAAGGTACAATTTAGCCTCGGGCGAGGCTCTGCTGATACAAAAGGAGCGATTAGCCACAACGACTCGTGATTACAATAACAAAACACGAAGAACTTCAGCAGCTACCCGTGGTCTG